AGGAGGCTCACTCTAGGGAGGCCATGAGGCACCTGCCACGCTGGGGTCGGGGAGGGGGTCCCCTGCCCAGTCCCCCGCTTCGATGCCCTGACCAACGGAGCCACCCCAGAAAAGGCGTGAGCCAGCACTTGCCTACTCAGACCTCGGCGGTCAGCCGGCGGCCCCGCCACCGGCCCCGGGGAGGCGGCACCGTGACTCAGGGCTTCAGAACCATCTGAGGCCGTAGCCCACCCACCCCGCAGCGACCGCGCAGCTCCCAGCCCCGCCAGGCTGCCTCCCCAGCGAGGCCCGCCCGGCCTGCCCGTGGGCCCCGCTTCCCATCCTGGCGGGGTCACTGGACACGCCTTCCAGGAACGCATGGGGCTGCGTCGGGGTCCGTGTGGGGTCTCTCGTCGGATTTCCACTCCACGCCTCGGGAAAGGGAACCGGGCAGGGCGGGGAGGTGCGGTCCTGCCCGTCCCCTCCCCGCCCGCTCCCCCGGACCCCGCGCCCCCGGTCCCGGGCCGGCCCTCCCGGGAGGGAGTCCGCGGGCCCGGCCGCCGGCCGCACACTCACCGCCTCCGCCGCCGCCGACTTCCGGGTGCCGCGCCCGCGCGCCCCCGCCGCCGCCCAGGCCCCGCCCCCGCCCCCGCCCAGGCCCCGCCTCCGCCCCTTGAGCGCTCGCCATTGGACTGCGCCGCCAGGGGCGGGGCCGCACGCCGCGACCCCAAGCGCCGTTGGCTGCGCGCGCTGTCGCTCGGGGGGGGGCTGCAGCCCTCCCGGCGCCCCGCCCCCGGGGCTGCGCCAAGCCTCGGGGCTGCGCGGGCGTCTGGGGGTCTCGTGACCCCCGCGGCTTTCCCAGCTCCCCAGCCCTGAGGACGCCTGCACGAGGTCGCTGCCCCTTGCGGCCGCCCCAAGGGCATGGCTTCGCGGACCCCGTTAGGGCTCTGCAGCCTGAACTCCAGGGGCGGTAGGTCGCCAAACCACCTGGCGGTCTTCGCTGAGAGCGATAGGGGGATGCCCACTTCCGGACCCGCACCTCAGACCGGGTCCTGGGCCACACCCTGTACTGGCTCCAGACCTGGCCATCCCTACCTTTTCTTTAAGGGCCCCAGTTGGGTTTTGCCTCTGCCATTCTGGCCTTTGCACCGCCTCCACTCCACCCCCGCAATTCCTAGCACACACAGGAAAGACGCTGGACCAGGCACTCCAGACCCACCCAGCCACTCTGGCCTTTGCACCCCCACTCCACCACCACTTTCACCACCACCCACCCTACCCCGGAATCCTGGCACACTCAGGAAAGACCCTGGACCAAGCACTCTAGACCCACCCAGCCACTCTGGCCTTTGAGCTCACTTAGAGGCTGTTCTGCAGGTCCAGGCCCTAGGATGAAGAGTTGGACCACCCTCAGCTGTAATGAGTGAGCAAGAGGGCAGGAAGGGGCACTGACTGGGGCCCTCCCAACAGGACAGAGGCATTCACTGCGCTCCCTGCCTTCAAAGACCTCTAGGCTGTGTCTGGGGCCTGAATGCAGGGAGAGTGGAGAGTCAGGGGACAAGGGCCCAGGGCCTACTCCCAAGTGGGCGCTCAGCAAACTATGACAAGGATGACAGTTATGCTAAGAATAGTAACAGTGTGCTAAGCACTCTAAACCCAGGGTCCCGGTCCACAGCTATTATTCCCCCCATTTTATAGATACAAAGGCTGAAGTTCAGAGCAGCCATGTCATTTTTTTAAAAAGATGGCAAATGGCAGTGGCTGGATTAGCTCCACAGTCCTGTGTGGAGCCCTCCTGTCCTGTTCCTGACTCAGAGCACTGATGTCCTGTGGGAGACTGGGGTTTAGAGAGGGAAGGGGCCTGACTGGTGATAGAAAAAGGCAAGTATTGAATCCAAACCTGCCTGATGCACCCAAATGCCCATTCCACCCTACTCTCTTGCCATCTTTTCTGTGCTCCCAACAGAAGCCCTTTACAGACATGGACACCGAAGACTCCAGATGTCCAAGGATTCATGGCCAGCAAGTGGTCAACCTAGCCCGATGCATGGTCCTCCCTCCCTGTATGCAACAGCAGAATCCTCCTGAGCTGGTGCCAGTGATTTCCCTCTGAGCAGCCAGACTTTGCAATCCACCCAAGAGGCGATAAAGTTAGATAAGCAAGACTTGAGGCCGAGGCGTGTGTGACCTCACCCTGGGGCACAAGGCAGCAGTTGCAGAGTACTCTGCCCCCAAACCACTGGGCCACACGCCTCAGGGGAGGTGCTTTCCTGTTATCAACAAAGAGAGATGAGCTCACGCATGGGTTGGACAGAGGTTCAAATCCTGGTCTGCCAGTAAAGCACATAGCTCTGGGCCAGCCCCCCTCCAGCTACACTCTCCCCATCTAGATGGAGCCATGTCAGGTACTCACTCTGATCTGTCTCCACTGACTCCAGTTGACAACATTCAGTGCTAGGGAGCAGATAAGATAGGATAAGATGGGTTTGGCGGGAAGCTGAACTCTGGGGTCTTAGGGATGCAAAGAGTTCACACATCCTTAGTTGGGGAGCTCACTACCTTATAGTCACCCTTTTTGGTCTCTAAGCATTTGCCACTGTTGAGAAGTTCTTGACCTCCAGCTAAAACCTTTCCCCCCCTATAGCTTTGCTCACATGTCCCAGGGATGTCCCCACAGAGCTGGCCAGCAGCTAGGTGGAGGTGGGGGGGGAGGGAGGAGCCTAGGGTACTGGTCCCTGTGCCAGTGGTCACATGGTAGGGACTCTCCATCCTGTTTTTTGACTGTTTCTGACCCCTGCCTGCAGCCTGGGTTACGGTGGGCCTGCTGCCTGAGAATGGCCTTGAGTTCCTTGGAACCCACACTGTCCACCCTACTCCTCTGTATATAGCTGGTGACCCAGCTTGGGGGACAGAATCCTGCCTGGAGCGGGGGGCGGGGAGGCAGCCCCCACCTAGGACAATTTTGGAGCATGATTCTCCCTTTTGCTCTCTCACCAGAGCTCTGTCCAGCCCCTCCTGCCACCATCAGCAAGTGTGTGGGGAAGGGTTGATGCTGAATCACAAGCTCACTATGAGGAGGACCAGGAGGACCAGGGCCCAATGCCCCTGGAGAAATCTGTAGGGACAGTTTGACTAATGAAATCCACTCTAATGGAAGGAAGAAAATCCCCCCAGCCCACACAGCAGCTGGCTCAGAATGTCACCAGTGGTGCAGCTCCATTAAGACAAGAGCTAACTTGCTCACAGAGCCCTGTGTTCCAGAGAAGGACACTGCACTCCATCTTCCCAGAGATACAAGCAACATCACTATGCCAGAGTGTCAGATGGCTCTCACCTCCAGTGCCAACTTCAATTGACCAGCAGTGGCTGACTGGTTCTAAAAGGGTAGGATGGGGGATCCCTGGGTGGCGCAGTGGTTTGGCGCCTGCCTTTGGCCCAGGGCACGATCCTGGAGACCCGGGATCGAATCCCACGTCAGGCTCCTGATGCATGGAGCCTGCTTCTCCCTCTGCCTGTGTCTCTACCCCTCTCTCTCTGTATGACTATCATAAATAAATAAAAAATTTAAAAAATAAATAAATAAATAAAAGGGTAGGATGGATTTGCTATGTGTGCTAGGTACCACAGGGGGAACCCAATGGTGGTACCAGTGGTGAGTTCTGGCCCTACATCACTTCACTTTCTTTGTTAAGAGGAAGCAACTTTTGGGTGAACACTCTGGCCCCCTGACGTGGGTGGATAAGACATGAATGTCTGGTCTCCCCATTAATGCTGTCATGGGTCTGTGACTCCCTGGGTAGACACGGGGAATATGATGGGCTGAGAATCTGGTCATCTCCAGGTGCAACCAGGACAGGAAAGGCTTAGAACTAAGCCAGAGTCCCTGGCCAAGGGGCCATCATCTCATGAACCCCCTGAAACAAGCCCCAACATGCAGCACCCCTATTGGTACCCCACCAAACACACCACAAAGTTAAGTGGAGCTGGCCAAGGATTATGGTTCCATTTGTGGTCATATATGTGTGCTTCGTTTCCCTTCAAGGACCAGGTGTCGGCTCTCCACCCGGCAGAGAAATGCGACCTGTGCTAAACTCCATTCAGGTGGTTGCGCCCCCTACAGTGTTTCTCCAAGACCAGAGGTAGGGTGGTGGAGGAAACGGGACACCAGGAAGGAGGCTGGTGACAAACACACAAACTCCTCCCTCCACCCCTCCCGGACCCTGAGCTGCGGTGATTTGATAGAGGAGGGGAGGGCAGTCCTGCTGGGTGGGCCGAGCCGAGGGGTCCGTGGATTCAGGCCTGGTGGAGGAGGACAACCTCTGGTTCGCCGAAAGGACCTTCCTGCCCCGAGAAACACGGCTCCCCATCCAGGCTCGCGGAGCCAAGGTCGGGCCCCGCCCCTGCTGCGAGAACCCTGGGGCGATGAGGGTGCGAGAACCCCCCCAGGCCCGGGGGTGTCGGGCTAGGCTTGCGCCCGAGTGACCTAAAGCAAGAGAGAACCTTTCTGAGCTTCAATTTCCCATCTGTAGAATGGGAAGGTAGCACAACTCTCCCTCGCAGAGTGTGCGAAGAACACAATTAGATCCGGACAGGAGGGCGCGGCGCGCCCGGTGAACAGCAGGCGCGGGAGAAGGATCCCTGCGAACTAGGGGCGGTGATGGAGACAGCGAGGCCAGAGTCCTGGGAAGGGGCGCGGGGCTCGCCAATCCCCGCTCGGTGCCGGGGGGCCCGGGCAGGTCCTCGAACGCCGCCGAGAGGGGGGCGGCCCCGAGCCCGGCCGCCGCCGCAGCGGTCCCGGCAGGTGCCGGGGCCTCGGCCACTCCACGGAGGGACACCCCGGGAGCCCAATGGGAAGCCGGCGTCTCCCAGCGCCCGTCCAATCGGCGCCGGTTGCCGGGCCGCCCTGGGTCTCCCGACCAATGGGAAAATTCGCGTTCGGCTGGGGCGGGGCGGAGGGTCGCGTCGCCGGCCAGACCCGCTTTGCGCACGGGCCGCGCGAGGGGCGGGGAGGGCTGGCCCGGGGCTGCACGCTGGGCCCGGGAGGGGTCCGCCCCCGCACCCGCCCGAGTTGAGGCCCGGCGGAGGGCTGACCCCGCCGCGCCCCGGGGACGCCGCGCCCGGCGCGCCCAGAGACCCGGGGACGCCCGTCTGGGGGCGGGGGCTACGCTGCGGGGCCGCCCACGCCGCGCTCCAGGTAGGCTCGGGCCGGGGGCGGGGTCCGGAGGTCGGGGCCGGGATGGGGCCGGGTTGGGGGCCGGGCTGAGGGCCCGCGGGGGCCGGGGGTCGAGGGGGGCTCCTGAGCGGAGAACCGAGGTACGAGCCGGGCCCCGCCCCACCTCGCCCCTCGCGCCGCGGTGCGCGAGACCCGGGGCCGCGGGGGCGGGGCCCTTTGTGCGCGGTCTCGGGGCCCCGGCGGGGCGGGCCAGGGCGCCCCGCACAGCGCGCCCCCACCGAGCCGCGGCCGGAGCCCGCAGCCCGCAGCCCCGCTGGGCGCCTTGCCCCGGGGCTTGGGGGGCCGGAAACTTTCCAGGCGCCCGAGGGCCGGCGGGGCCGGGGAAGTTTCCCGGGGCGGCGCGCCCCTGGTGCCCGCTGGGGCTCGGGAGCCAAGGGGATGTCCCCGCTCCCGCCGCTCCCGCCGCCCAGAGGACGAGGGAGAGGATGCCGCCTGGTGGCCCTGCCTGGTGCCCGCACCGGGGATCCCCCCATTCCCGCCGCCCGAGTCCCCTCGGTGGAGCACCGGTCCCGGCAGAGGCGGATGCCGCCCACTCGGCGCGGTACCCAGCCCGGTTTGCTGAGGTGTGGCCCGGGGCGGGCAGCCTGACATCCCGAGCCTTCCCCGTGTAATCTTTAATTAAATGTTGGGTACTTAAAACGTACTCATCTCTGCGTAACGTATCCCTGAAAACGGAGCTCCGGGACTCTGGCTCCGCTTTCCCGTTAGACCCAGGCCTGTTTAGAAACAGGGAAGAGAAAAGAATCATCCCAACAGGGTTTCATCCTTTGGGCTAGGCTCTCAGTGTAACCTCGGGTGCTTGCCCCTCTCTCACACCCCTTCCCACTGTCCCCTGCAGGGCACACACCAAGTCAGGATCTGTAAACCCAGGGGATTGGCAGATGAGCGGCTTAGGGCACGTCAGGGCACTCCCCCGCCCCGCCCCCCTCTCGTGAGGACCTGTGGAGGGGGGGAGGGGGTACTGAGAGCCTCGATCCCCTCCCTCTGCCTCCCCTTGAGATGCAGACCCCCCAGCAGCAGTCGGCTGGTCCCAAGCAGGTCCTGCCTGTCCTGTGTTCAATGTATCTCTGGACTTGAAATGGTGCTGCACACAGGAGACAGAGCCTTCACAGCATACTGGGCTCGTGGCCAGTTGTTCTTTTTAATTAAATGTTGGGTACTTAACCAAGTAGTAGGTGGCCCAGGTCTTGGGTCCCGCCGCATGTGGGGCTGTGAATCCAGAATTCATGCTTTCTTCCAGCCTTGCCCTGTCCCACCCACAGTGCCATGTCTGTCCCCTGCTCCCTAAAGTCTGTGATCCACCAGCACCCAGCACGGGGCTGGGCACAGAGCACTCACTGTGCTGGGGATTCTAGTCCTGACCTAGGCAGGAGGGTCACAGCCAAGTCAGCCTTGGCCCTGCTCTTCACAGTCTTTATGTAGACAGAAGAACTTGCAGTCCACAGGTAAACTGGGCCGGCTCTAAGTCCTACTAAATTAGCATCCCCATGCCACATTGGGGTTGCCCGGTAGCCCCTCAGATCTCTTCCCAGGCCCAGGGGTCTCTGCATCTCAGAGGCTTGGTGAAGGCAGGGCATCTCTGTTGGTGCTGCGGTAAGGATTCAGGGCAGATTTACCACACCCTCTTCGCCCCAAGGGACAGGCCTGAGAGTCGTGAATAGAGGAGCCCCTAGCCAGTCCCTAGTATCTGCCCTGTGATCTGATCTCAGCGGTGGGAGGGAGGTGAGGGAAAGCTTGACTTCAGGACAAGCCCTGGGGGCTGCTAGGAGGGCCACAGGGGGTTTGGGAACCTCTGAATGGCAGCTCAAGTTTTGCTGCCAGCTTCTGTCAAGATTGTAATGAAGTCTTGGGCTGCTGCTCAGCAGGAGACCCAGGACTAGGGAATAATCAGATGGAATACGGGGTCAGGAATCCCTTATCGGGCCTTCCCGACCAGGACAGCTGCACAACACGGTTTATTTGATAGGTCAGGAAGATGAGCCCAGAGCGCATGGACACCCATTTCAGCCACATCTGTCCCTCCTCCTTCCCCCCCACCGCTTGTCAGGCATAGGCCCTTCCGCCTGCCCTGGGGGATCCCGAGGAGCCAGCAGCCTCTAGGAAAGCAGCGGGTGCAGCCACCAGAGGGCACCCAGGACCGCCACGGCTGGCAAGCCTGACCCCGCCCAGCCACCTTCAGTGCTGGGACCCTTCGGGAGGGACCTGGTGGGGCTTGCTTCAGAATGCTTGTCCAGGGTATGCAGCTGGCAAGGGGCAGGGATCCCTGGGGCAAGGCCTCTCCGTAACCCCAAGAGCCCCTCACTGCCTTTGGTGCAGGCAAGGGGAGACCAGGGACTGAATGGCAGGGTGACTGCCCACAGGCTTGGGCAAGGACAGTGAGAAACAGGCCCTGAGCAAGGCCTCCTTCAGGCCTTCACCCCAGGGGCCTCCTCGGCTTCCATAGGCTGACCCTGCCCCCACCCAGGGGTCCAGGCGAGGACTCTGAGCCACTTGCAGCTTCTTTTCACTGCATCTGTGAAAGAAGGTGTGACAGAAGCAGGTGCCTTTTCACGTTGTACCCAGAGTGGCCAGCGGCCTGGAAGAGCACGTCCAGATCTGTCATGGCGGAGGAGAACATGGAGCTGGAGTGCAGAACAGGCTCCTAGGCAGACTTGCCTGCCCCCCCTCCCCGCCCCCACCTCCTAGCCTCCTCATCATCTGCCCAGCCCACCTAGCCCGGGGCCCATCCCTCTTCTGGACTCTGCTCATGGAGCTGCCTTGTGCCATGGATGCATGACAGGTCTGTTTGCAGGACTGGCTCCGTGTGGCAACCCCTGTGGCCTGGGTTCCTGTCCCCATCTGAGATGCAGCAGGCCTTCCCAAGATTGGGGGCAGACTGGAAGATTGTCGGGCGCCCCAGTGTGGGGAGGCCGGTGGTAGGGGTAGGCCCCGGCTAGTATAGCCAGGGGGAGTTGTCCCCACTTCTCAGGACACTCCTCGTTTGGGAATGGAGCCCAATAAGAGGCAGGTTTGATGACTCCCTTCGCCCCAGAGCTCCTGGGTCGGGGGTCCTTGGTCAAGTAAGTGACCCCAGACCCCACATATCAATCCTAAGGGAATGCTAAGTAGGGATTCCTAAGACAGGTACCTCCTGCATTCTCATCACAAAGCCTGTCATTCGTTCTCTCTTCATATCCACACCTGTTCACTCCCTCAGGGCTCCTGTCAGACTCTGCCTTGCCCTCACCTATACAATGTCCTGTGACAAGGGTGCCCTGGAGACGCATGCCTCTCAGAGCCGCCACCACCCTGCATCCCCCAGTGCCTCCCACTTCCCCTACCCTCCTCCTCCAGGAAACCTTTGGTGGCTCTCCCCACTGGTGTCTGCTACTGGCTCTCCTCCATGTTTATGGAGCTCTTATCCTGACCAGAGCCCCACAAGGAGGGAACATGTTCTTGTGGCCAAATATCCCCAGTTGAGGTGGGGACGCTGGGAACAGAAAGACATAAGTTCAAATCCTGGACCAAGTTTCCCCATCAGAAAAATGGGGTATTGGGTCAATCCAAGGCACCTAGCAAGAGTGATAAGAGGGTGTACAGCCAGCACCTTGTGAGGCTTTGCACAAGGCCAGCCCTGAGGGGGAGCTTGGCAGTTATCAGGACTGATAAGAAAGGCATGTGGCTATCTATGGGGCAAAACCTATGTGAACATTTAAGCCAAAAACAGAAGCATCCCAGAAACGTCACACTCCAAGCAGAGCTGCTTCCTGAACCTCAGACTTCAGGGTAGGAAACGCAGCCCCTATGCTGTGGGTGGGGTGGGGACCGTGGGTGGGCAGGCTCTATCCCAGACTGCCCTCGCAGGCACACATGAGGGTGAGTGTGCACAAACCCATACACATGAACACACATACCTACCTGGCTCGGGCCACTGTTCTTTCTTGCCTCTGACCCCACGCATCCTGATCCGTGATCCCACCATGACTCAGAGCCCCTCCTTGTGATGAAGGAGCTGCTGTGAGGTGGGGACACCTATCCGCAGGGCCCCCAAATAGGCCATGTCCACAAAGGAAGATTAGATAGAGGACCAATCTGGGAAACACAGCAGAGCCCAAGGGAGACAGCTTCTGTCATCCTGACCCACCAAAGCTGGCTTTCTGTTTGCAGCCGAGACTCCCTCCTCTTGTTGCCACCCTGGCTTTGTTTTTTGTTTTTTGTTCTTTTAAAGATTTTATTTATTTATTCATGAGAGACGCAGAGAGAGAGAAGCAGAGACACAGACAGAGGGAGAAGCAGGCTTGTCACAGGGAGCCTGACGTGAGACTCGATCCTGGGACCCGGGATCATGCCCTGAGCCATAGGCAGATGCTCAACCACTGAGTCACCCAGGTGTCCCTGGTTTGGGGTTTTAAAGTTTGTAGTTTTCAGTCATCTCTACACACAACTCGGCTCAAACTTAAAACTCTGAGATCAAGAGTTGCATGCTCTACCAACTGAGCCAGGCAAGTGCCCACCACCCTATTGTTCATTTTTATTTTATTTTTTTAAGATTTTATTTATATATTCAAGAGAGATACACACAGAAAGGGGCAGAGACACAGGCAGAGAGAGAAGCAGGCTCCATGCAGGGAGCCTGAAGTGGGACTCGGTCCTGGGACACCAGGATCACGCCCTGGGCCGAAGGCAGGCGCTCAACCGCTGAGCCACCCAGGCGTCCCCATATTGTTCGTTTTTATAACACAGACACTCTCTGGCATGGTCCCCAGGCCTAGATACAGTGACAGGGGATGTGTCCCCTGGGGCATGGGCTAGGCCATAAGCCCACAGGGGCTGTAGTTCTGCCTGTGAGGCACATCTAGACATCTCTCTGGCCCCTTGGTGCCAGGGTCTGGGAGCAAGGCTGCTTGCCTCACAGGGACACAGGTTCCGGGCTGGCCCCAAGGAGCATCAGGAGAGGCAGGTGGCCTGTTGCACAGAAGTTCTCCTTGCTGTACGTTGATCATGACGAAGCACACCCAACCTTCTGGAATGGGGAAGACACTATTACCAGACTCCAGCTGAGCAATCGCAGTTTTGCAAGCTAGTCAACAGTATTAGAAACATTTATGAGGGATGGTGGTAGTCTGACATAAACCGCAGACACCACAGTCCCAGTAGAGCAGAGATAAGAGAATGTGCATGAATATGTGGGTACACACGTCAGGAGTGCCACAGGATGACCTCGGAATCAGGGGTGACACTGCCTCACCAGGGGTCTGGCCTCGTCCAGAAGGGACTTAGCTTGACAAATTGATCTCACAAGGTCTCCTCTGGTTTCCCTGCAGGAGCTGGAGCTGGCAGGATGGACGTTGGGACATGCTGATCTCTCTTCGAGACAGGTGAGTGACCTGGGCTCGGCCTGGAATATCCCCCTCTTCACATAGGACAGAAGAGAGTCCTGGTGGGCTTGGCAGGTGTGATGGATGGAGGAATGGCCCAGGGTGGTGTATGCTTCTGGTCAGCCTCCCTCTGGGTGGGCACAGCCCCCGGGCTGGACAGGGCTGGGGGTGGGGCCTCACCACTAACCCTGCTCGGATTCACCAATGACCTGGGTATGGACAGCAGCCACCAGGTTGATGTCTGGCTTGAGGGATGAGCCTGCAGTGAGGCTGACACCAGGACATTGACTGGATCTGATCTTCACCTGCCTTAACTTGGATGCTTGGCACGGCAATGTCTGGTATCAGCCTCGGCCACCCAGCTTGGTTCTCAGCTCAGGAGACAGGAGCTACCAGCTGGGAACAGACAGTCCTGGGTGTTACCTGTGTTTGTGGGTTTATCTGGTAGCCACTCCTCCAGCAAGAGTAAGGCTTGATGCCTGGGAGGTATGGCAAGATTGGGAAGCTGTGTGGTCCCTGTGTCCCCCAGGTCCCTCTGGAGTGGAGGGGTTGGAATATGCCCTGCTGGCACCCTGGCCTGTCAGCGTTTGCTATGGTGGCTGCATTTACGGAGTGGTGATGGCTGATGAGAATGTCTTTGGCCGTTCTTGTTCATGCGGTATGGGTACCCAGGCCCCAACCCAGCCATCTGCTCCTGCCCCTCTGGGTGCTATCTCCACCAGAGGCTTGGCCAACCCAGAATTCTCAGTGACACTGAATATCCAGCGTGGATGGCCTGGCCCAGCCAGTGCCATGCTCTGTGGTGAGAAGATAGTGGCCACCGGCCTGGGACTGCCCAGGTTTCCAGACACCTCGGTATCCTGTGCCAAGGGCTATAGGACAGGGAGGGATGGGACCTGACTCCTTCTTCCCTATTGCACATAACTCTGGGTTTGGGAAGCTGCCAGCTGGGCTGGTGGTAGCTGGGCGTCTGCTGCCACCTGGAGGTGTGCTACCTGGCCACTCCAGGTCAGGCAGCTCAGTGGCAGGCTTCTGGGCCGCCTGGGGGCCTCTGCATTGGGATGAAGAGGCTCAGGCTGCATCTAGGGCTCAGAAAGTGGCCTTGCTTGTGGTATAGGTGACATGGTTCCTGGGGGTGACGTTGGCAGGGTGCTGGCCCTGACCCCGCATAAGTCCTGGTAGGCCACCACGCCTCAGCTTGGCCAACCAGCCAGACATAGAGTGATAGCTCTGGTCACAGGGTCTCCCTTAGCCTGCCTGCTGCACTACCCCGTCTCCCAGCATGGCTTGGTTGTTTCCTGTCCTTGTTTATCTCTCTCTGCCTCCTCCTCTTGGTTTTCTCCCAGTTTTTCTCTTGTCTTCTCTGTGTGTCTCTCTGCCTTTTCCTCTCTCTTGTTTCTGTCCTCTCCTTCTTGAGTGTGGTGGTGGATTATTCTCTTCTGCCACAGTGATTGACCATTCACGTCTGCCATGGGCCCCCGAAGAGTAGTGGCGAGTAGTGGCGGCTGGCGTTCATGCCATCGCTGCTCTGGGCTGGGCCCATTTCACAGACTGGGAAGCAGAAGCAGGCCCTGGCTGGGGCTCCCTGCTCTGTGGGCCCTGAGGTATAGCCCTGATCACATGAAGGTATGGGGCTGGGCAGGCTTGGGAATTAAGTTGAGATAGGGGTGATGGTCAGCACCTTTGTATCTCCCATACTCTCCTTTGGGCACTTGTTACTCAGCCGCTGAGCTCCATGTCAGACACTGAGTATTGTGACCCCATCGCCCTGGGGAAGCCCCTGGCCTGGCAAAGAAGGCAGCAACAGAGAAAGTGGCCCACTGTGGAGCTGCAAACTGGTGATGAGAATTGCAGGGCTCCCCTTCCAGGGCTATGGTTGCCCCTCATTGCAGCTGTGCCAGCACTGATGCCACCTCCCAAAACCCACACCCTCCCAGCCTGGCCTTGCCCCTTGGCCACCTTGTCATTGGCTCTGCCCAGCTGCACTGAGCTGGCTGCGTGGCTGTGACTGCTGGCCCCGTGTTGGGTTGGCGGGGGGAGCGGAGATTGATGTTTTTCTCAGTCATTGATCAGAGTCTTTGTTTTATTTTTTTATTTTTTTTAAATTTTTACTTATTTATGATAGTCACACACAGAGAGAGGCAGAGACATAGGCAGAGCGAGAAGCAGGCTCCATGCACAGGGAGCCTGACGTGGGATTCGATCCTGGGTCTCCAGGATCGCGCCCTGGGCCAAAGGCAGGTGCCAAACTTCTGCGCCACCCAGGGATCCCAGAATCTTTGTTTTAAAATATGAATTCTTGGGCAGCCCGGGTGGCTCAGCAGTTTAGCGCCGCCTTCTGCCCAGGGCATGATCCTGGAGACCCGGGATAGACCCAAGTCGGGCTCCCTGCATGGAGCCTGCTTCTCCCTCTTCCTGTGTCTCTGCCTCTCTCTCTCTCTCTCTCTCTCTCTCTCTGTCTCAGGAATAAATAAAATCTTAAAAAAAAAAGTATGAATTCTTCCCTCATCTGCCTGTAGCAAGTTCTTTTTCAATCTTTCAATTTTTATGACAATTTTTTCACATTCAGAAATTTTTCATACTTTGTGGTGAAATCCATTGAATGTTTTCCTTATTTCGTTATTCTGTTGTCCTTCTTGAGCATCGAGTCAGGTAAAGGCGCCCCTGTCTTTTCTTGAGTTATTTCCAACATAGTATTTTATGCTCAAGATTTCATCAATCTAGAATTTATTTTGGCATGAATGTAAGTTGAGGATTTGTTTTTCACTTGTACTTGAACCATTTATTTTAAAAGATATTATTCATTCATGAGAGATAGTGAGCAGGGTGATGGTGGTGGGAGGGCAGAGGGAGAAGCAGACTCCCCGCTGAGCAGGGAGCCCCGCCCCACGCAGAGCTCAATCCCAGGACTGAGGATCATGACCTGAGCTGAAGGCAGACACTTAATTGCCTGGACCACCCAGAACCATTTTTTTTTTAAAGACTTATTTATTTATCCATGAGAGACATAGAGAGAGAGGCAGAGACATAGGCAGAGGGAGAAGCAGGCTTCCTGCGGGGAGTCCCATGCAGGACTCCATCCCAGGACCCTGGGATCACAACCTGAGCTGAAGGCAGAGTTCAACCATTGAGCCACCCACACGTCCCCCACCCAGAACCATTTAAATATCTATGAACCATTTCTTGACTAACATTTTTCTGTCACCAGAAATTGGAAACACTGTGGAACATGTCCTTGGGTTTGTGGTGCCCATGGCAAGTGCCCAACCCTTAGCCAGTGCCCATGGCTTGATTTAAAAGATCAGGTTGGAGCCTCCCCTTGATCAGTCTTTGTTCTCAAAGTCATGGTTATTCTACGCGTTTACCCTACATGTGCTTGTTGGAACCTGTCTGTTGGGTTGTGCTCCCTGGGATTTCTGTGGGACTCACCTGAGTCTTGCAGTCTTTGGAGCCAGTGGGCCCTCCCTGTGTGTGCCTGTGGCATATCCTATGCGGTCTCCCGATGTCTCGGGGCTCTCACAGGAGGGCCTGTCCCCACTCTGAGCACCTTTATTTATTGAAAAGAGGTCCCTGCGCTGCTAGGGTCCTTGCTACTGCCGCTCCAGAGCCTGGTGCAGGATGGCTGTTCTCTCTCTCCTGTGCAACTCTCAGCCAGACATCTGGGGCCTTTGTGATCAGACTCATGGGTCATTTCCAGGTGGGCAGGTCCCCTGGGGAGCCCCAAGCCCTTTCCCACTTCTCAGGTGGGGCAGAAGGAAGAACATTCTATGTGGCAGGACTTGGGTTCAGACCCTGGCTCTGCTCACACTGTAGGCCTTGTGAAGGGCTCGGCGCAGGTGGTGCTCTGCTGCAGTTAGGGCAGGAGTGCCGCACCAGCTCCCGGCTGTGCCATCACACCTTCAGGATCATCCACAGCTGGTGGTGTGGCTGGTGCAACAGGGCCACCCTAGTGAAGCCTACATCGCCCAGGCCGCCAGGTGAGATGGTGCTGCGCTAGCATACCCAGGCTCCCCTGGACAGTCTCGTGGTAGCATTTACCCCAGCCCTGCGTTTACCTGGCCCCCCAGCCCCCAGCTTATCTCACCCATGGGAAGGCTGCCCACTCTCAGGTGGGGAGATGGAAATACCCCACCCCCATGGCACATCTTGCCAGGTTGACTTTGCAGCTGATGAGTTTGGTATTTAGAATATGCCTTTAGTTAAACTTTTTCTTTTCAAAATATTTTCACTCTCCATGAAATCCTAATTAGGCCATTCATTCGTCTGAATGTACTTGCTGCTCTTGCATTTTGCAACATAATGAGGCTGCGGGGAGGCTGCCATCCCCAGGCTCCCAGGGCCTTCACTTTCTGCCCTGGAGGGAGATGCTGGCCCCCCCATGGGCCATCCCTGCCTGTAGGATCAGGGCCATGGTGCCAGGGGGGGCGGGGGTGGGGCACCAAGTATACAGATGGGGAAAGTAGATGAAGGGGTCTCCGCCCCACCAAGGCCAACCCTTCACCTCCTGTCACCCCAGACCCAAGATCAAGCCCAAGGGAGGGACCTCCTAGATCCTGCTGACCCAGGCTCCCCTGGGTGTGCCTGAGGGGCTGACAGCAAGGGAGAGGCCACCAGACTGACCTGTAGATGCCAAATAACCAGGACACCAAAATTCCGTTTTGCTTTTTAAAGATTTTATTTGTTTATTTGAGAGAAGGGGGGAGAGAGAGAGAGAGAGAGAATGCGCTAGCTCCCATGTGCAAGCAGGGAGCAGGGTAGAGGGAGAGAGAATCTCAAGCACACCCCTGGCTTCCAGAGATCCTGACCTGAGCTGAAATCAAGAGTCAGATGCTTAAATGGCTGAGCCACTCAGAGGCCACTGCACCACCCTCGTTTTACTCTTTGTAAATAATTATAAATGTGTGTTGTTTATAGAAAATGTAGAACATACAGAAAAGAAGGAAAATGAAATCATACCTATCACGGCCCTGTAGCCCGGCACCTCTGTCCTCCCTCAGGTT